CCACCTGCCCAGGAAGGTGAAGGTCATGGCTGAGCCACATGCCACATTCTTTAGCATCATTCTGACTGGGCCTTGGCATTTTGCTGGTTGAGCACTGCCCTGTTGGTCCCCATCCATTTCCAAGTGCCCCTAGGGCACCCCCCTCTTCAGCCCTCCTCAAGGGTTCACTCGGCAGGCTGCTCTTCTGGGGCAGGGACCATCACCACAAAGCCACCCCATGTGCCCTAGAACTGCAGGTGGCAGCGGTGCCCCGATAGTGAACAAGTACCCAGTCATTTTCTTAACTTCAGTGGCTTCAGCCACTCCTAAAGCTCTGCATTGATCCCTTATTATCCCCCATAGCTCCCACACCCGCTGGCCACACACCCATAGACCTCACATACTTAGGTGACCCCTGGCTCCCCAGGATCTTAACACCGCTTTGTAGGTCACTGGAATCCTGGGGGTACATGCTACCCTCAGTGCCTCACATTGGCCATGCCCATCTCCTTCAGTGGCCTCCAGTGGCCCCTGTCACTTCTGGGAAATTACAGGATTTGGGGAGGTGTCCTGTGTTTCCAAAGGAGTTTCCTGAGCCTCCCTACCCTACCCTCTACCACTGTTGCCTCTCTGTGGTGTGGATGGTCTCCTGTGACTCCAGAGGTGGCCCAGTCAGCAGGTGATACATCACCAATGGGCATGGTGTCCATGAGGATTCTGGTGACCCTCACCTTTAAGAGGAGCAGTGTAAGTGACTGCAAGGCAGGAATAAGGCTTTTGTTTCCAGTTTACAATGTTGACCTCCTCCCATGCCATGGTTCTTTGAACTGTGACTTCTTAGGCTGGCTCTGAGGTGGTAGCGCAGGTGACTCTGAGCACAACAGGTGACCTCACCTCAGCCTATGGACCTGAGGCTCCTCATGGTGACTCCAGCTCCCAGGCTAACAGGAAGCTCTGGAAGTAAGGCGTGTTGCTCTTTAGGCTCTCTACAAAGTGGGCCTTCTTCAAAGGTGAAGCGTGAGCCAGGTGAGGTAGCACTCACCTGCAATCCCAGCACCCTGGAAGGCTCAAGCAGGAGGATTTCCAAGTCTAAGCACAGACCAGCAACTTATCAATTTAGTGAGAACCTACCTCAAAAAAAAAAAAAATCAGAAGTGGCCAAGGATGTAGCTTAGTATGAAGGCCTCTGGTTCAATCTCCAGTACAAAAATAAGGGAAGGAATGGGGAGAAGTTGCTAGTTTGTCTACAAATACTGTCTCTGCTGGGTCAAGAGTGCTGAGATGAGAAAACACTTGTTATTTTTTCGTTGGTTGCTTTGAGATAGGGTCTATGTAGTTCAGGTTGGTCCTGAACTCACTGTGCAGCCCAGGATGCTGGCTTCAAGTTGCCAGCGATCCTCATGCTTCAGCCTCCTGAGTGCTGAGATTACAGGAATGTGCCTCCATATGCAGCAGAGAGAGCACTTGTGTTTTATCAGCCTGAGACGGTGCAGAGAGTGTGAGGTGGCAGCATGCTAGAGTCCTGAGGGAATACTAGGTCAGCTCTCTGCTCTCCTGCGGTCTCTTTTTCTCACTGTTACATCTGTGGCTAAGCTCAAGCCCAGGGATACCAAGGGGGCTGGGGACAGGAAAATAACAGAGGCTCCTTCCCACCACCCTTCCCACCCAGAGGGTGTGGATGCCTCTAACAAAGAAGGACAGGAAGGGCTGAAGGAAGCGATGCCCCACTGCCTCCATATCCTAGTCCTGGGGCTAGGCAGGGAGAATGGGGCTGCAGGAAAGGCCAGCTGAGCACGTGAAGGGGCCCAAGAGTCCAGCATGAGTACCTCTCCAGCACAAAGTGCCTGCTCTCTGGTGCTTGCTCCTCTCCACCACCCTACAGGAAAGCCACTGAAGACCGAACAGGGAATCCTAAACCCCACTTCTAAAGATTTTCTTCTACTGTTTAGTTGATATGTCTAATAGAACCAGGATGTAGAGCCATACTTGGCCAGGAGGGGTTGCTAGCACACACTGCAGCCAGCTGCTTTACCAGATAAATTAGTTCCTCTCTTTATCAATTCTGTATGTTCAAAGATATGTAAATTAGGTTTCCTAGTGTTATAATTTATATCTCAATGTCCCCCCCCCAAAACCTCATGCACTCGTAAGTGGAGCTTTTGGGAGGTGATTGGATCATGGGGGTGTGATAATCAGCAATGGATTAGTCCACTGATGAGTTTGCAGCTAAATATGCTATTGGGAGCTGAAGCCTGGTGGAAGTAGATTGGGGCTGTGGCTGGGAAGATCTACTTCCCTCTCTCCTGCCTTGAGTTTTTTTTCTTCCCTCTCTCTGCTTCCTGTCTGCCATCCTACAAGGAACTTCCTCTGCCCTGGAGCCAGATGACTATGGGCTAAAACCTCCACAAACAGTGAGTCAAAGTAAACCTTTGCTCCTCAGAGTTGTGGGTGTCAGGGATTGTGTCCGAGAGACAAGAAAGTAACAAAGACAGATTTTGGGACCAGGAGTGGAGGCATGGCTGTGAGGTGCTACCTGGCCACGTGGTTCAAAAGCCTTTGGAACTCATTTGAGGCAGGAGTTTGGAAAGGTTTAGAAATGCCAGCTGGAGAAGCAGCCCTAGAAGGCTCTGAGCTGAGCTTGATGGAGGATTCTTGTCAAAGACCAGAAGACTGAAATGCTGTCAGTAACGCAGTCAGAAAAGAATAAGGTCAAAATCTCTCAGTTGGTAAAAGGACAGCACTGACATTTGGCCTCCAGGCCGATGTGTTGTGCTCTGGGGAAAAAATTGTCTGTATTTTCTCATTCCCTGAGACTTTGAGGGAAAATGAGAGTAAGAAGACCAAATTAGGTAGTTGTACAGAAGAAAGGTTGTGAGAACTGTGGGGCCAGAGAGGCCCTCACTCCAGATTTCAGAAGGCCTTGGAGGCCAGACAGTGTGCCTCTGTGAGGGCAGTATGTGAAGCTGTAAGTGTGAAAGTGAAGGTGAAGGTAGAGACTCCAGAGTGTTAGAGAAACCAAGAATTGGAATATCTGAGGAAGACTGCAAGGAGGGAGCACAGCCAGCCCAAGACAGAGGCCATGAGGGCTACCACCACTGGGAGCGCTGTGGGGGCAGAGCTGCCCAAGTCTTCTGGGGTACACATCTTTCCAGGTCTGGGCACAGAACCATAGGATTTTAATATTTACCCTGTTGGATTTTGGTTTTGCTTTAGTACTACTCTTTTTATATCTACTTCTTCCTTTTGGAATGGAAATGTTTATCCTATGCCATTGTACATTGGAAAAATTAAACTTTGATTTTTACAGGGGTTCATAACTAAAAGTTTGCCTTAAATCTTAGGGGAGACTCTGGACTAGGATTTTTCAGCAATGCTGAAACTGTTAAGACCCTGACAACTCTTAGAGGTGGCCTGAATGTCTTTTGCATATAGGGGTGAACATGAGCCTCTTGGGGCCAGGGCAGAATGCCATGGTTTATATCTAGGTGTCCCCCCTTGCCCAGGAGCATCATGTACTCATACAAGGGGCTCTGCAGAGGTGACTGGATTGCCAGGCTGTGGTACTTAGTGGATAGGTTCACTGATGGGTTTATGGCTAAATACGATGCTGGGAGGTAAAGCTTGGTTGGAGGAGGTGGGACTGAGGGCAAGTCCTGGAAGGGTCTATCTTCTCCCTTCATGCGATGAGTGCTTTCTCCTCTGCCATGCTGCTTTGTCTTGGCGCCTGTGGACTATGGACCGAGGCCTCTTACAAAGAGCCAACATAAATCCTTCCTCCTAGAGTTGTGGGTGTGAGGTATCATGGCTCAGTGATGAGAAAGTAATCACACTTGGGAAAGGGGAGAGCCACAGTCCTGTGGTTTAGGTGCTCCTTGTCTTGCTGCTGGCACCCACCTAATGCGAGGCACATCCGGACATGGAGAGGGGAGGGGGTAGGAGGTGAGAATGCACCAAGCAGTGCCTGTGGCTCCAAAGAACGATGAGGTCCTCAGGGCCCCTAGGTGGATAGAATCTGTGGGACACTTTTCCTGTGAGCAGGTATCACCCCTTCAGGGAGGGAGAGACACCAAGGCAGGTTCTCTGGGCTATGAAAGAGACAGACCTTAAGAGAGGAGCTGACCAGACTGCCCCATGCACTGGCAGGACAACAGTAGCTCTGTGGCTTTGAGTGGCTACCTTGAAATGTCAGGTACAAAGATACAAATTGAGAAATTCTATGATTTGAGTACTATCCCAACCCTCCTAAAGTGGAGACACTATTCTCTCAGCATAATAGTCACTGCTGTGACCGGAGCTCCAGGAACCACATCTTCCAGGACCTTCACAGCCACCCTGCATCCAAGTTGATACCAGGCTGCAGACCCCTTCTTTTTTGGCTGTCCTTGCTCTTCAGACACCAGGTCTGCTATGTGCACAGGAGTGTGAACTTGGTGGCAGCTATTTTTTGCTAGCGGGAGGTGCTACTACTTTCTTCGAGCCCTGGGCATGGGAAGGGTTAAGGTATTGGATCAGGAGACAGGGCCAGGCAGACCTGCATTCTCTGCTGCTGCTGCTGCTGAGCTGTGTGATTGTTGGCAAATTGCTTGGCTTTTCTGTGCCTTCATGTCCCCTACCTGTGGAGTGGGCAAAGCCATGAATAACTTACATGAAAATGCCCACTGTATGACTGTGGTGAGGATGGAAGAGAGTACTTCTGAAAAGCAGCTGGCACATGCGGTATGGGCAGTGAACCTGGGAGGAAGGCAGACGGGCCTTCTGGAACACGCTGCTTCCCTTTGCTCCTAATCTCAATGTGTAGCCAGAATGGTTTTATGGGCAATAAAGAAACTAAAGGAAAATGCAGCACTACTGAGCAGCCATGTGTTGCATTTGTCTACTTCTTTTGTTTTTTAAAAACAAGTAAACAGAACATTGTGTGCCCCAAGGGTCTCCAATAAGAATGTTCGTGATGCAAAACAAGACAACCAGTTTCATTTTTTAATAATACCGTAAATATCTCAGAAAGGATGTATTGTTCCTAACAAATATCAAAAAAGTGATCACAATGATATGGCCCCTGCCCCACATCACCCTCCCCACCCATAGTTACCCGGATCCTAGTAGGAAATTACAAAACACAGAAAAACCCAGCCCCCTCCGCCCTGCCCATGAGTAGGATTAAGAGTGTCAAGTGTTAGGAGCCACGTGTCTGGTGCATGCGTCCCAGTGGCAGACCTCTGGGGACGGTCCGTCTGTCCATCCACCTGTACATACAGGAGCTCGTGGTGGGACTGTAGCAGCAGATCTCCCTCCTTGTAGCGTTCTGGGGGGAGGGTGGCTGAGGACCAACAGGTGCAGAGTGTTGCTCCCAGGTCAGGTGGGATGGTTCAGGAGGCACTGGCCTGTATGTGAGCAGCTGGGTGCAAGAGGGGGCCCAGAATAAGGGGCCCCATCTGCCCTGGGGCACAGGGCCTCCTTGTGAGCAAACTCAAGCTTTAGGAGGTGGCTGGGTGTAGTAGAGAAGAGGGACATTTGAAAACCTTGGGGTTAATGCAACAATGGGTATCCTTTGGAAAAAGCTCACATTTCCATCAAATGGAATTGGGGCCTGTACGGGAAGGGGGAAAAAAGACTGTGCCTTCCTCACCGCCGTATCTTGGAAGGAAACACAGAGGCTTGGAGGCGCAATATAAAGTCCAGTTAACCAGGAAAGGAAACCACTCTTGCCTGAGGCCAGCCCCACCTTCATCTGGCCTGAGACCTGTGCCCCTTATCTCAAGAGCCAGGGGCTCCCCAGTCATCTGGAGAGACAGGAGCTGAGGCTTCTGGCCACTGGTGCAAAGAAGAGGAGAGGGGAGGGAAGCAGCCTCCACACAGTGTCCACCAGGACAAACAAGATGGGGTGGGGGTAGGCAGGGAGCAGCAGGCAGAAGAGGTGGCTCAGGACAGAGAAGGGGCCTGTAGCCTCCCAGCAGCACTCACTCTGGGAGGCTGCAGTAAGGTCTATGCCTCCTGAGCCAGAAGCCACCAAGCTCTTTCCATCATTTTTGCCTAGAATAGATGCGCAGAGGGAAGATCAGACCAGGAGGTGGACAGGAGGAGCCCCTGCTACTGGGCCAGGACAAGGGTAAAGCCAGGGTTAGTACACATATCACCAAGTCATTGAAGGATAAATCAGATTTCCAGGGTGAGAACAGGGGCAGGTGAAGGAACAATGGCCTGTGTGACTTCAGGAATCAAGGTCAACAGCAGTGCTTCAGGAAAGGGAGGCAAGCAGAGAATTTCCCAATTTGGGAGATAGGGAAATTGAAGCCTAGGGAGAGGAAGGGAGTGGCCAAGGTCACTTAGTGGGATTGAGGCAGAGGGCCTGTGACCCAGGAGTCCCCATCTGCTGGGATTTTCTCTGCTCTGCCATGTAACCTTCAGCCTGAAAACCCCACCCCTAAAAGAGGGCAGGTTTAAGAGAGAACCTGGGGATTGGAGGGGACGGCTGCCCAGAGTCAGGGCCAAATGTGGGACAGGAATGGTGGGTGAAGTGACTGACAGAGAACAGTGTTTGTCACTCCCCATCCCACCTGCCCACAGCCCCAGTATAAAAGTTTTACAATATGGCACACTGATCCCTAGGACACACTGATTAAAACCACGGTGGGATGTGAGAGGTGCTAGTCACTGTACAGTATTATCTCGTGGTGGCCGATACTTCCATGGTCACTGAGCAAGGCGGGGACAGGGGCTGTCAGCTGAGTGTACAGTGGCCCATGGAGATTAACATGTTAATATATCCTGTGTACAGAAGCAAAGCCCCTACCATTAGGAGAAGCTCAGGGTCATTTACACATGGGCAGGGAAGGAGGAGAAATGAGGTGGTAGGCAGACAGCCAGACTCAGAAGTGTGTCTCCTTCTCTGTGATGGCCGCGATGCTGCCGTCACCCTTGAGCTTGGCATCACAGTCATTAACTGTCACCGTCCGTGGGCCTGCCCCAAGCTTGCCCCGCATTTTCAGATCTGCACTGGGTACTGTCAACTTCCGGAATTTCTAGATGTTGGAGAGAAGATCTGTCTCAGGGGGCTGACATGGCCTAGGGGTCAGCCTTGGCCTTGCCAGCACACAGGTGGGTGCCTCAATGCTGTGGATCCATCAGCCTGAGGCCCAGGCCCTGGTTCTGCCACAGTGCTCTGTTGAGGATGATGCACTGGCTTCCATGGGCCTCAGTTCCCTTCTCTGGAGAATGGGCACAGCAGAGGTCCCTGTTCCTGATGTTAGTGAGTAGAAAGGAGATGAAGGTACGTAGAAGTGCATGGCCTTCTGGGTTGCCTCAAGCAGGTGACTGGAATCTAAGAACCAGAATCAGACCCCACTACCTGGTCCCTGCCCTTTGGCAGGAGTTAAGAAGATGGGGTTTAAATTGCTTCTCAGCCACTGGCTAGTTGTGCCAGCCAAGTGTTATAGTGAATATAAACAATGTCCTCCAAAGGCTCTTGTGGTCAAAGTTGGAACTTTTGGGAAATAATTGGATCATAAGGATGTTATACTTACCATTGGATTCATTGATGAATTTAGTCGCCAAATGTGCTGTTAGGCATGGGGTCTGGTTGCTGTGAGGTCACTGGGATGTGACCTAAAAGGGTATATTCCTTTCCCCAGTTCCTCCCTTCCCTCTTGGCTTTGGATGAACAGCTTTCCTCTACCATGCCCTTCTACCATGCATTTCTGCCTTGGAGCCAGCCAACTAATGAATCCACTAGAAGCTGTGAGACAAATAACCTTCTCCTTTAAGTTGTGAGTGTTGGGTATTGTGTTCCAATGATGGGAAAATGACTAACACAGAAATTAGTACCAGGAGTGGGGTCATTTATATGTCTGTACTTAATGATGTGATTCAGAGCAAGAGTTTGAAAAGATTTGGAGATGTCAGCTAGAGAAGTCTTAGAATGCTATGCAATCAGAGTAAGCAGAGACTGACGTGAAATTTTGGTCAGAGTTCAGAAAAACAGATCCTGACGGGAGTGCAGATAATACAGATTCGGCTCAGGAGGTTTTGATTGAGAGCAATGACTATGTTGATAGTTGGGCTACAGGCCATGTGTTACACTCTGGGAGAAAATGTGTCTACATTATATTTATGTTTGAGGACTTTGTGGTAGACTAAAGTTAAAAGTAGTAGACTAATTTGGCAGAGAAAATTTCAAGGCAGCCCAACATTCAAGCAGTGGCCCAGGTACTGCTAATTGCTTTTAACCAGATCTACAGTGAGAACCAGGAACAAAAATCAGATGTATAAATTCTGTAGTTTCATCAGAAAGGAAGTGCCTACAAAGTAGGGCTTTTGAAAAGCATGTTGTTAAAAAGGTCAGTATTAGAATGAAGTCAAATACTTTGCATCAGAATGATAGAAAAAATAGCTTGGTGGCATCTCAGGAATCAACAAAAACCCACCATTCACAAGCTCAAGAGTACAGAATTATAAAGATTTCATTTGAGAAAAGAACCTCTAGACTCCCTGCTTGAGAAGGGCTGCCTGGGTAGCTTGTTCCTTTGGATTAAGTTCACAGTTCTCAGCCATACAGGCACTAGCAGCCCTCCATGTCAGCAATGCAAGGAGGCCTGGTTACTGCTCAAGCTGGCAGCAGATCTTTTATGTGGTTCTTCTTTTATAGGAATACAGAATGTAAGATTTATGGGGTCATGGTGACTTCCATCCAGACACTAGAGGAAGTCCTAGGAGGCCAAGCAATGTGCCCCTGAGAGGGCAGTGTGTGAAAATTGTGAGAGTGAAGTTACATGTGCAGTGGTTATCCCAAGAAGCTGAAGATGCAAGGAATGCAGACTGTCTGCTGAAGAAAACTGCAAGAAGTGTCACTCAAGCTCTTTGGGGCTTGTGTCTCACCACAACCTGCCCCAGACACTGGGACACAGAGCTATAGGATTTAATATTTGCCCTTCTGGGTTTCAGTCTTTTGGTTCAATTTCTTTCTATTCCCCTATTCCTCTCTTTTGAGATGGAAATCATTTCCCTTTTTTTAAATTGTATGTTGGAAGTATTTAACTTTCTTTTCAATTTTTCATAGGAATGTATGAGCTTGGCTTGAGTCTCAGAGGAGACTTTGAACTTGGACTTTTCAGCAATGCTGGAATTAAGGTTTTGGCAATTCTTAGAGATGGGCCAAATGTATTTTGCACAATGAGATAGACATGAATCTTTCTGGGGTCAGGGGAAAAATGTGATGGTTTAGATTTAAAATGTTCCCCCAAAGTCTCAAGTGTTTGAATGGTAATTGGATTGTGAAGTGCTATATTCATCAGTGAATTCATTCATTCATTGATGGGTTCATGACTCAGTGAGCTATTAGGAGGTTGGGCCTTGTTGGAGTTGGTCACTGAAGGTGTGGCCTGAAGGGCATGTTCTTCTCCCCAGCTCCTCCCTTCTCTCTCTGCTTTCTGACTGCCATGAGATGAGTAGCTTCCCTCTGCCAGAGCCTTGCACCATACCTTTCTGCCTTGGAGGTAGCCAGCTAAGAACTACAGGAGACTGTGAACAAAAATAAATCACTCCTTTAAGTTTGCAGGTGTTGGGCATTGTGTCCAGTGATAGTAAACTCAATGGCACAACTCTAAGGCCTTACAGAGACACATCCAGCACAATTTTCATGATGGATGCCTACCAGACAGGAGCTGTCCAATAGCTTCCTTGAGATACAGGTTGGCATATCTGCACCATGCCCATTGTTCAGGGGAAGAAACAGACTAGTGAGGTGCCTGGACCCATGAATATTCTGCATTCCTGCCTGTCTCCTCCCACCCTGGGAAGCATGCTTTCTGTTTTCCCCTCCATCACCTTGGGTAGTATTCCCTCCAATACTCAGCCTCCCTCACCTCAGATAGTGTGCCCTCCATCCGCCATAGCTGGATGCAGACCCAGAGTGGGATGCAGAGCATGGAGGACAGCGCCATGAGCCAGCCGATGCCATAGCCCCAGGCAGGGTATGTGTAGACGTTGTTGTATTTGAGCGGCTTGTACTTGATAAGGAAGAAGATGAAGATACCCTACAGAGAGATGAGAAGTCTCTGCAGCCACCACCACCTGCCTGTCCATAGCAATGTGGGCCAGAACCATTGAGAGTATCAGATGGGGATGTAACTTGGTCCTCATCTCCTGGGGTCCTGAGACCTCCCACTACTTTGCCCAACTAGGGACTCTTGTTTTATCCCTTTCACTTCCTCAAAGGCTGGTTCAAAGCTGATATTCCAACCTCTGCAAACTATGAGATGCTCTGAGACACTTCCAGGGCCAGGAAGCAGGCAACGGGTGACAAGGTTACATGTATTTATTGTGCCCTGTCTCTTAACAAGACCCTTGTGGTCTGCTTTTGGGGAAGAGTGTGAGCCTGACATTACATCAGCTTTGTCACCACCATAATTAACAGCAAAGCAAAACCTTAGTGTCTACATGGCCTTCATGCCAGTGAGGCATAATTCAGGTCCAAGGCAGGGGGACACTTGCTCAGGACACCCAGAAAGTTGGTGGCAGAGCTGGGGTCTGGTGAAGGCCCTGCAAGGCTTGGAAGCTGCCCCTGTGACCTCGGCTATACTAGGTGTCACAAGGCTAGGACCTAGGGACATGAGCCTTCTTGGTGCCAGTGAGGCTGGGTGGGGACATGGAGGGGAAAAATGGTGAGCAAGCAGGTGGCATGTGGGGCACTAGGAGTGGCACCTGCTGGTCCTTACCGCACAGATCCCAGGGGTCACCACCTTCCAGCACCACTTAATGAGTGACGGTGGCCGGTAGCCAATCATGTCTTCAATGTTGTCATAGAACCGGTTGCTTCCTTGCAGAGGAGAACAAATGGGCATGAGACTCAGTGCCCTTATTTACCACTTAGTGCTACCATGAGGTGACACAGGGCTATGGCTTGTGTGATGAATGCCTCCAAGGATCTCATGCAAAGGCCTGGTCCCTGAAGCAGCACTCTTCAGAGATGGTGCTTTAGGAGGTGGCACCTGATGGGACATCCTTAGGTCATTGGGGCTGTGCCCCCAGAAAGGATTTGGGGACCCTTTCTCTGCCATGGCTTGAGATGTCATGGCTTCACAGGCTATGCTCTTGCCACAAGCTTCTGCCCTGAGCTGAGGCCCGGGCTGGAACCTGCAGAGGCTGAGCTCTGTTAGGATTCTTGTCCTCCTTGGGAGGCCTGTGTTTCATGATGGGTCCAGCTGGCTCTCTTGAGGTGGCTTAGAGCACAGGGGTCATGGAAGAAGGTGGAAGGGGTTCCCCTGGCGAGGTGAGGCCAAGAGAGTGGCTGGTTGACCTGCTCAGGTGGCGGCCTGACTTCATGAGGCCAGAATGAGCAGAACAGCCACTCTACCACCTCCACCCTCTGTGTGGCCCAGTTTGAGGAACAAAAGAACTAGACTTAGGGCTCCTTTGTCTACACAGTGTTCCACCTAGAAACATGCTCCACAAGCTTTCTCACAGAGGGGAAATTAAGGCACAGGGTATAGGCTTAGACTGAAGTCACAGTGCCTGGGTCCTAGGCCTGCTCCCTGCTGTGGGGGTGAGAAGGCAAGAAGGTCCCCCAGGTTGAAGGACCTCTACTCACCATATACCCAGCCGATGCACACACATTCAAAGATGGCCACGAAGAGCAGGCACATCCCGCTGGCAGCATAAGAGTCAAAGAGCTGGAATATGTACATGCCTCCCTGCGGACAGAGGACAGACACATTGACAGCTTGCTGGCTGGCTGGCTGGCTGGCTGACTGCACCTGCTGCACTCTGAGGCTGGCACTGGCCAGAGGTCTGCCTGGACCTCCTCTGAACCCTATAGCCTCTATGCCTGGGCATCCCCATCCCCTGGGGACTTTAGGAAGGTGATGGCATGACCTGTCACAGCCTTCTAAGTTCCCTCAGCGCCAGAGAACACACTAAAAGTCAGTGGTAGTCAGGCTTTTCAGCCAAGAAGGCCCCACACAGGTCCTCTGTGGCATCTGGCATGCAGTAGGTCCCTGAGTTGTGTGGAGTGTCGGCCCTGTGTGGGCAGAGACCCTGACCAGCTGGTTTGGGCCAAGCCCTGGCACATAGCAGCTGCACAGCTGGACTTGGAGGTTGAAGGAAAGGCTGGGAGGGCTCTGAGGTAGGTGAATGGCTACATACCTATGGCCTCTGATCCCTGGATTTGTCCCCCTTCACCCTCTGTACTGAACTTGTCCAAATGTTATCCTTGTCATAGTCCCCAGACACTGAACAATTGTGTGCCCTGAACTTGGAGTAAGTATGGAAAGCCACCAAGAGACACTGTGCCCAGCAGGCCTATGTGGGCTCCACCATGATTTGCCTCTATGGATTTAGGTTCTGGGGCCCATCCCCCATGGATATCAAGGGACTCCATGGTCACCAAGCTCCATGGAGGTCCTGGTGGGTGTGAGATTAACCAGCTGGAGATTCAGGAGGTGGGAGGCGCTGCAATGAGGGGACAGGTTGCATCTGTCTGGAATCTTTGTTACTCAGCCAGGGTCACTGCCTCAGCACACAGGTACAGGGGAAGAGAGGGCAAAGGAGCTGGACCCTGTGTGCCCTACAGGATCCCCCTACCACAGCCACTCCTGTGCTTGCACCCAGCACTTTCTGTTCTTGGACCTGAGACCTCTGCACTCTCGTTCCTCTCTTCAACCACATAGAACACTGTGCCAGTGCCAGCATGCTACGAATGACAAATGTGGCCTGGGAGTGACACCAGGAGTGGTGGGGACTGGGGACTGGGGCCCATGGGACAGCACAGGTGGCCACCTGGCCACAGCACTCTGGGCCACAGTATGGGGGCCATCACTGCAGGTTTTTTGGAAGACACAGAAATCCAGGTTTCCATGGGAAAGTTTTCTCTCTTTTCATACTTGGTGACTTCAGAGTGTTTTATAAAACAGTAAGGGCAGAATGAGACAGACACCGCAGTGGTTGTCAGTCGGCAGGTATCTGGGCAGCCTGAGCACCCTGGGCCCAGCAGCAGGGCTGGCTCTGAGCTGACACTGGAGACCCCTCCAACTTGCTTCCTTCCACTAAATGCAGAGTGGGGGGGGGGGTCACAGGCAGCACTGAGCATAGTCCAGTGGCACGGTAGCATCCCACACAGAACAGAGGTCTCCGGAGACTGCAGCCCCAGAATGTCATGGCCCTATGTCAGCAGCCACACAATGAAACTGTCTGAACAGTGAGGCCTCAGGATGCATCCGGTCTGTCACTGACCTGGCTGTCTCAACCACTTCCTGCATCTTGATTTATTTCTTGGTCCTTTCCAATGTGATCCTAAGGCAGGTACTATGCTATAGGGGAAACTGAGGCACAGAGCAGAGTGCCTGCTGCCAGCCTTCTGCTGGCTACTGAGGAGCCAAGAACAGAGCCTGATAGATGGTCTGGTCGTGGAACCCAGCACCCTGCCTGCAAGAGGCCAGGAGTTGATGGCCTATGCTTTCCCTGCAGCTGAGCTTTGAATGAGGAAGGAAATCCCTAATGGCTAAAAGGGTTTGAGGCCACCACATCCATTTGGCAATTTGTGCTCTGCTGATGTCACAGCCAGATGTTCCCACCACTGAGGATGATGGATCTCTGTTTTGGCGGCTCATATTCGTGCCCTGAAGGCCCTGGGTCACCAAGTCTGATCTAGGCCTTAGACAAAGAGGCCACTGCAGGCCATGCTCCGGGCAGGTTGCCACCTTCAGTCTGCTCTTCATGACCCCAGCCTGTCCCTGTCAGCCTCTTTAAGGCATCAGGTCAGCCCCCAATTTGCATGCAACAAAAGAGTCAATTTTGCATGATTAAGCAGAGCTTAATGAGGCCCTGCTCCCTGCGGGTCTGTGGGAGGGAGGAGGGGAGGCTGCTCTCTCTTCTAACACCCATTATAGAAGGGACAATGACCAGGAACCTGGGTAGCAGCAGCAGCAGCCTCACTGAGCACCCAGGCCAAGCCTTGCTCTGGCTCTGGTAGCCTCAGGCCTGAGGGGAGGCAAGTGAACAGGGACCACAGACCACTGGGACAGAGGAACAAGGAGGGTGACTGGGCTAGGGACACAGGGCCAGAGGCTGGGCCCAAAAGAGGAAGGCAGACAGGGCGGCTTCCTAGTGGAGGCAGTGCAGGGAAAGGACAGTAGGTTCAGCAAGGAGCCCCCAGTCCAGTGCTTCCCAGGCCGGCCTGGTTTCAGTGGCTGCTCTGACAGATTCACAGCAAACCTCCCCCAACCCCCATGGCTCTCACAAAATCTCTGCCTGTCTCCTGGAAGCAGCATTTTCTTAATTATCTTTGTGCATGTGGGAGAAAGAGAGCAGTCTTACCTCCTCAAGACACCCAAACAAGTATCAGGACAGCTGAAGAGTGGGGAATACGGTTGGGGAGTCTCAATTGAGGGTCACGGGGTCCCTCACAAACTACAGGCCCCACAGGGTGATGAACAGGGGGCAGAGGTGACTTCACAGGAGTGCCTGGCCCCAGAGAAGCCTGCTTTGAACTTACCTGGGACTGGTAAGCAGTCTAACAGCTGGTAAAGGATGCTGTTCCCTTTGCCTGGGAGTTGCTGGCTAGGATGACTGAGGTGGCCTTGTATGTGTCTAGCTAGGGTCATCTTGTGTGTCTATCCCACTAGTGCCCAGGCTTGGTGAGGACTCATAGTGGCCAGCCAGTGCCAGAGCTGGAGTCACAGTCCACCTGGCACCCCTGCGCCTGTGTCCACCCTATGTCCTCACCTCCGTCAGCATCACGAGGCCCAGGAAGTAGGAGACCACGGACAGCGCCAGGATGAGCAGCTCTCGCCGGTAGCCCCTCCGGAAGATCTTTGGATACATGTCCACCACAGCCGTCACCAAGCTTTCCACACACACAAACTGCAGGAGGTACCACACTATGAAACCCAGGAAGATGCTGCCCAGGGCCCAGCTTCTTTCCCAGCAGAGTGGCTGCAGCCCACCTTGTCCTCACATGGGGGCCCAGAAGTGAAGACTGACACCAGTGAGCCCATAAATAGGTAGAGCTCGGCTGCTTAGGACACAGCTGCAAAGCCTAGACCTGCGCTGTGGTATGAGACTCCTGCTGGCCCCCAGAGTGGGTAGGGACAGGAATGAGACCCAGGAGGCAAAGCAGGAGCCTGTGTGCCCATACCCACCTCAGTGCTCTGCTGACAGCAGACTCTCAGACTGTGTGAGCCTCTGTCCCTGCTCCTAGTGAGCAGGTGCCGCTGCTAGGTGAGGGCAGTTAGCAGTGAAGTGACTCCCAGCTCTGTTTCTGTGGGGTGGGCCCTGAGCTCTGACCAAATGGTGCAGACACTGACGGCTGAGTTTGAACTGCTGAGCATCTGGATCCCAGAGTGGAACACAGGGCTGGCACACAGTTTCAGTCCACCTCCTACCTATGGGACACAGGGCCTGGCACACAGTTTCAGTCCACCTCCTACCTACCCGTCAATATGCAGCCCAAATGTCCCAACATGGCAAGTGGCCCCTTCTCTAGGTTCTCATGGCACCAAGGGTGGATCTTGCAACTGCTTCTCCTTGCACTGCCTCTCCTTCTTACCCAGGGGTCCTGGCTTGCCTACATCTGCCAACTTGCAAGGAAGAAGGGCCACAGGAGCAGGGGCCTCTTCGAGTTCACCCATTTCTAGTTTCTGGGGCAGGGCCCCACCTGCATAATGACTGTTCCTATTTATACTACAGCATACCCGCTCGACGTCATGGTTCAGAATTTGGGGTCGCAGTCATTTGTGGATCTTTCCTTAGAATCTTATTGTAGAAACTGCAAATACTGTATCCTCTGCAACTTTTTTTTTTGGGGGGGCAGGTTTGGTCATTCTGTTCTTGCTGCTGATTGGCTGCTTCCTGTGCACCAGCAGTCCCACCATAACAGGTGGCTGAACCACAGGTTGCGATCTCAAATGCTTTCAGTTTTGTTTTTCTTAAAGCTCTAAGATCCCTAAGATGCCACCAAAATGCCTTGCATCTTCTAAGACTTAATTAATATACTATTTTATTAAATTAAGTTATATAACTTCAAGAGACATAGTATTTTTAGGCATTTTTCTCGCCATATTTTAATTTGACATTTTTCACAACTTGCAAGTGCTCTCAGAATATCACCCCCATGAATTTTGGGGGTCCACTGTATTGCTAACAGCAGAGCCAGGGCTTGTGACAGAGCCAGGCGCTGTCACTACTTACTGATTTAGTGACTCCACCTGGCTGTCCCCTCCCCCTGTGCCCACTGGCATGAGGGTCTGCAGGGCCGGAGTCAAGGACTTTTTTGCTGGCCACTATTGCTGGACTCCCCTTCCCCAGAGCAGCTTCTGAACCTTAAATCCTTGATGGTTTACTTTTATCCTGTCAGAAAAAAAGACTTGCACCCTTCTTGCATGGACGAAGCCCATGGGGTACACAGAAGTGGAGTGACTCCCCTGGAATCACATGGCTTCAAGATCCCTGGCATGGGACCAAACCCATGGGACTGCAAAGCCCAGACTTCCAGGCCTCCAGCACAAGGCAAGACTGGTCATGCTCCTCTTTCTCTGGGTCCCCATAGCAGAGAGTGGGACCTGGGAGCTGCTCATGGGCAGGCATGGGATACCATGGTGCAGTTGCTCAGCCTCTGGGAGCCTGCACTTCTGCACGATGGGCAGCACAAAGGGCCCCAGCCCATGTGACTATGGTGATGATGAGCTGAGCACTCAGGCTGGGCACACAGCAAGAGAGCCAGGCCAGGCTGCAGCTGCCGCTGCCTCCTCCCTCCTCCCTCCTCCTTCTCTTCTTCCTCCTCCTCCACCAGGCCCATCATGTCATGCACCAGCTGTCATCCCTGATCCCCAAGGCCTCTGCCTGCAACAATGGGACTGAGATTATCAGCAGAACCACCCGGCACCTCCTGGCTTGGCTTAGCAGCTCTTGGGGCCAGGCAGAGGGGGAGGAATTGGATCAGTGGTTGACAGGCACATAGCCTTAAGACTTGTGTGCTCAGCGAGTCCCTCAAGGTCATGGAGGGGCTGGGCCTCACCTAGTACCAGGAGGCCCAGGCTGCCACTTGTTAAAGTGGGGCCTCTTACCTGTGAGCCTGCTCAGCAAGAGCTCCTGGATGCCAGATCATGGCAGGGCTGGAGGGGGCTCTTTGTGGCATCAGCAGAGGGCAAGGGTCTGAGGCTCTGGATGCATGATAGTCCTGGGATGCAGGGCTCTGGGAGGCTCTGGGGGGGGGGCAGGCCAGGAGGGTGAGTGGTGGAGACAAGGGTGGGGACACATAGGCCAATGCTCCACCTCACACACCTGCACTAGGGACCCCCTCCTCTGGGTGCCACATGGCAAAGGCAGATGCAGGTGGGTGGGGCTGAGGGCATCCCAGCACAGCAACAGAAGCAGGGAGAAGAGGTGGCCTCAATGATAGGGTTGTGATGGGGACATGTGATGTGGCCCTTGGGTACTATAGCCACAACTGACTCTAGGATGTCCTCCTACTTTGCCAGGGTAGGAACTGGTTGGCTGAATGGAAGCATTGAAAAAACAAAAATAACAGAACTATTTTAATCAGGAAACTGGGAATTCCTAGTGAGGAAAAATGGAAGAACTCAAAGGGACCCCAGCAGATGGATGGGAATGAGGAGCTGCCCAGTGGGTGAGAGGCTACCAGAAGAAGGCTGGGCGAGCTCACCTGAGCCTGGCTCTCCCTGCCAGCAGTGCCCACTCCCTATAACCCTGTCGTCCCCTTACCTGGCTGTCCAAGCCCAGGAAGATGAGCATCATGAAGAACAGGGCTGCCCACAGTGGGGACAGAGGCATCATTGTGACAGCTTTGGGGTAGGCAATGAAGGCCAGGCCAGGCCCTACAGGAAGGAGAAAGAGTGTCTTGGTGTCTGGGTGGGGTCTATCCACAGAGGTGCCCTCAGTGCCAGGTGCCAGGAAGTACCTAACAACTACTCAGATGGATCTCGCAGCACTCCTGGGATGGTGCCTTGCAAAGGCCCACATTGCACATGAGCATGCCTGGGGCAAAGGGAGACAAGTGAGGATCTGGAAGCCCGAGACTTCAGCTGAGGGTGGGTGTGGTACAAGGACCACTCTCTGGGTGGCCTCATGTGTGGCTCTAGGGCTGGGCATGGCAATCCCCAAAACACAGACTGCCAGCCCACTCAGAGGTTCCAGTGGGCCGTCTGTGGAGTGGCAGAGCGCAGCTTCCTGACCTGGCAAGAAGGCCAGGGCCTTGTGTGTGACTTTGCGCAGTAACTGCATGGACTGGACTTTTCTCAAAGTTTATTTTTATGATTTTGGGGATTCTATAAACTCCCTAGGGTCCAGCGAGATGGCTCAGTAGAATAAGCGCTTCCCTGGCTAGCACAAGGGCCTCAGTTCAATCCCTGATTCCACAAAAACAAAACAACAACAACAACAACAACAAAAATCAAACAAACAAAAAAACCCTCCCTAGTTTGTGTCATTGTCCACAAATTTTGACATGCTGTGCTTACATTACCATTCAACTTGAAATATTTTCTTCTTTGAACTACAGGATATATTTTTAAAATGTATCAGCTATTTAATTAGGTTCTTAGTAAGAAATTTAGAACTAATTTATGAGGATAAATTTCATTTGTCAGAGCAAAAACGGATCGCAGGTAGCCCCGGAGCTGACGAACAGCTTTGATTCTTGCTAAAATCTGTGAGTCCATTGCTTTCTGATCCACCTTGCACTGCTCTGAAATCTGGTATCTCTCTTTCTAGGTGTCGAAGATCTCGCCCTGCTCGTGTCTGGGTTTCCACAGCTGCTGCTTCTTGAAGCGAGCATCAGTGAGGTGTTTGGTGATTTTCACTTTGCTGACGTCAGTTTTTGTAGAGGTGGCAATGACAAATTTCTGGTGTGTTCTTCATAGAGGAATATGATTAAGGCTAAGAGGCCCAGTCACAAGTAGCAAGCCACTGGCCAACTGCTTCAGGAAGACCACTCTCTTGCCTCTGTGACACCCAGTGAGGATGATCAAGATGATGCCAGAGTGATCCTAGCTCAAAGTTTCCTCACATGCTGACTGAAGGGTTTCTTGCTGTGGCTCAAGAGCTTTCAGGGCATATCTTCAGTAGGGTAGTATCTAGGCATTTTTTGAAGCTTAACCACCTGAGTACCTCCATTCTTGTCCCCACTGACTGGTTTTGTGATTATAGCAAGAAATTTCTCCTTTTTCTTCTCAACCTTTGATTTAGCAGCTGTGTACTTTCTCTCGTATAAAGCCTTTCTGGAATACATAGTAGATTGGGAGTATCTACCAATTCCTCTAACCAGGACAGGATTTTGGCTGTGGTTGGGCTGCCCCTTGTTGGACTTCTTTTGGCCTTCACCTTACTCTTTTTACCAGTATCACTGGCAGAAGCCTTCTTGGCTTCGGGTTTCTTCTCTTTAGTGTCTGGATTCTCAGTTTTTTTCACCCACCATCTTGCAAGATGGGAAAGAGCTGAACTACATGATATTTAGAAATATGCTGCTTAACTATTACATATTTGGGGGCTTCCTAGATATTTTGGTTATGGGTTTCTAATTTCACTCAGGACAGACTCTGCATGATTTAAATTGTGTATATGCACAGACTTATTTTACAGCCCACTATTTGTCCACCTTGGTGAATGTTCCACATCTATTTTGGGGGAAAATGTACTCTGCACAGTTTTATGTAATGTCAAGTCATGTGGTTGACAGCATTGTTTAGGTCTCTGTGTCTTTACTGATATTTTGTGTAGTTGCTCTACTATAAGTGATACAGGAGTTAAAGCTGCCAACCATGATTGTGGATCTGTCTATTTTCCCCTTGAGTTCCATCAGTTTTAGCTAAATTTAAGACCCTTCTATCTACTGCAAAGACATTTAGAACTGTTAGATCTTCCCCAATAAATTGTTCTTCAGAGGCGTTTGTGTTTGTTTCTTCCAATACAGGATCTTGCTATGTAGCCCAGCCTGGCCTTGAACTCATAGCAATCCTCCTGTCTCAGTCTCTCCAGTGCTAGGATCACAGATGCATGTCACCATGCCTGGCCTTTGAATTATCCTCTTTAGCTCTAGCAGTACTCTTTGACTTGATGTGTACTCTGCCTTGTGCTAACATAGCCAAACCAATTTTTATGCTTATTGTTTCCCTTCCTCCCTCCCTCCCTCCCTCTCTCCATTTTTCATATATTTGTACCTTTAATTTAAATCTTTTAGACATTTCATAGTTGGGTCTTGATTTTTAATTCAGTCTGATAATCTGTCTTTTAATTGGTGTATATGCTACATTTATATTTAATACAATCAATGGTTTAACTGAGCTTAAGTCTACTATCTGGTATTTGTTTCCTTTCTGACCTCATTGTTTTGTTTATTTTGCTTTGATTTACTCTGTCGTACTTTCACTGCCTTCTTTTGGGCTAAGTAATATTTTTCATATTTAACTTAATTTCATATATTGGCTTTTTAGCTCTACCTCTTTATTTTTTAGGGAGTTGGGCCAACAATATACATCTGTAATTTACCAAAGCCTACTTAGAGTTAATAACGTATCACTTTGCCACTACACAGCTGACACCATCCACCTCGTTATCATTCTGACCCTGCCTTGAAACAGACTTCAGGACTGAGTCATGTCAATCATTTAAAAATGCAAATGGGTCAAATATCCAGTTAGGAGGTGGAGATGATCAGATTAGACAAGACCCAGTGTTATGGTTTGTTTCTAGGTGTCCTCCCAAAGCCTCATGCAGTCATTGGGTCAGCTTCTACAGCTTGTGGTTAATTCATGATACAATGCTGGGATTATGGGTGTGAGTGCTATACCTGCCCTGGGGCAGATAATCTGCATGCAATTTAAGGGAGGGAGAGAGAGATTTGCTAGCTGTTGCAGCTGCTGCTCCTACCTTTGCTCTTTGTTGTTTTTTGCTGCCATAAACAGCTGCCCTCTTCCATGTGTTTCTCTGTCTTACAGTCAGCTGTGTATGGACTGAAACCTCCACTAACTGTGAGCTAAACCTCGCCTTCCTTATTTTTAGGCGCTGGGTACTTGGTCCCAGCAAAGAGAGAAAAGTAACTGAGACACCCAGCCTCAAGATGAGTAAATTCTCCCCCAGGACAGGACTAGAAAGCATCTGAGAGATGGACTTGGGGACCTTCAAGGAGCTCAGCAGACTCTGGGCCCCAGGCTGGGAGCAGGATGCTGTGTCTTCTCCTCTGGGCTCAGTCTCAGAGCTGCCAGGTCAGGCCATGAAGCATGCCAATGGATATTTCACTATGGTATGTTCCAAACCCCCTTTCTCAGAAAGTGATCCAGGTTCCCCTGGGAAGGTGAGGCAGCCACACTTACAGTTAAACCTGGTGTTATTTCCAAATGACAAGTTTTGTCCTGCTCTACCAACCAGGGCCACAGACCAGGATCTCCTGTTCGGCATGGGAAGTGACACAGGTAGGCAAGGAAAAAGGGGCCAGATGAAGCCTGTGTCACTCACAGGCTGTGTGACTTTGGGTGAATCACCTCACCTCTCTGAGCTATGGGGTCCTCATCTGTGATGAGCTCTGGAAAACCCCAGGCTGCTGCATGAATGGAGCCTGGATGTGAAGCAGAGGCCCTGGTGTTCAGCCTCCAGCGATGCCATGAGCATTTCACGGGGTACAGGGCATGGAAACTGTGAACCTCAGGCCTGACGAGACGATAAAGAAGATCTGCCTCATGTGTCTGTCCTCTGCAGGTCACACTGCTGCTGACACTCACAGCGGATCTGGCCTGACAGGTGCAGGAAGCTGTTCCTGCTCTTCTGGGGATGCGTGGCTCTGCCACATACACCCAGCTCCCCATGCACAGAAGCCCTGGCAGGACCGGGCCAAACAGTTGCATGGGGTCCACATTAGACCTTCTCCTTGGTCAGCAGCTCTGTACTTTTCTGCTGATGAATACATTTTCAGTTTGAAACAAGAAAACAAAAGCCCAACAAGATTTAGTCTTGGTGGGTTCCATCTCTCTTTAACAAGTCTCCTCTGTGGATTCACCTCTTCCTTGGAAATAATCACAGAAAGGGGGCAAGGGCATTCAGATAGCCTCTCTGGAGGCACAGTGAGAAGTGCCTGGTGCCTCAGCCAGAGCCAGGTGGCCAATTCAAGTCCCAGCTCTGTCACTTACAGCCTATGTGGCCTTGGGGAAGAGAAGGCAGCTATCTCAGCCTTGGCTCCCTCATCTGTGAAATGGGTGGTAAGTGTCACTGTTTTTTGCTTTTCAGAAAGGGCCTTACTACCTAGCCCAGGCTGGCCTTGAGCTCCAGACAATCCTTCTGTCTCAGGCTCCCAAGTGCTGAGTGCCAGGATTACAGGTGTGCATCATTGTGTGCTGTGAACAGTGCCCTTTCTGAGGGCATAGTTGAGGCCCACAAGAGAGAACATAGGAAACAGTTCCTGCGTGTCACTGTCTGTGTCTGTGGGTCTGTTTGGGCCCCACTCCAGGCAGGGCCCTCGCAGACTCTGACATGCATGACGTCTGGCTGGGCCTACAGAGCTCAGTGTCCTCCTGTGCAGCTGGCACAGGTGCTGCCTGGTGAAGGAGCAGATGACAGCCGAGGAGCTGGGCACCCGGGACTGCTCTTGGCAAACGTCCCATGCCACTGGGCAGCAGGATGCTGACTTCACTTACCTGCCTGCAGTCTCCCCTGCTGCCACACAAGCACCAATTATTCTCCCACTTTCTCAGGCATGCACATGGCCTCTTCCCAGGCCACAGTCAGGCACCATGTAATCAAGGGGAACACGGGTACTCTGCCTGTGGTGGATGTGGTAGGAGCATATCAACCCACCCACGGGAACCCTGAGCAGAGAGCAGCAGGAGTGGCATGTGCAAAGGCCCTGGGGTGGAGGGAGGAAGGGGGAACAGACCTCACGTCGTGTAGAGCAGCATAGGGGGAAGGACGGGTGGGCAATGCTCAGGGCTGTTCTGTGACAACGCCATGCTAAAGGGGACGGAAGTGGAGGTAGGAGACCAGTAAGGGTTCCCCTCAGCACAGGTGAGTATGCTGGCAGAGGGTAGGGCTGGGACACGGGGTGGTGCTGTGGTCTCAGCAGGAAGGGGCCCAGCCTCCCTCCTGGGGCCCTGAGCTGGGGACAGACAGCGGGACCTGAGACCCACACCCAGGTCATGCAGACCCCACTCACCAGACTCAGCCACCTCAGCAATGGGCACACCCTGCTCGTAGGCCATGAAGCCCAAGACTGAGAAGATGGCAAAGCCAGCCACAAAGCTGGTGCCGCTGTTTAGGCAACAGAGCATGATGCAGTCCCTGTGGGAACAGAGACAGGGCTCGGTCAGGGCAGTGAGACAGCGAAAGGCCGAAATGGCCTTCCCAGGGAGGACAGCCTCTTTTCTTCAGAGAGGCTGGGTGCCCAGTCGAGGGTCACACAGCTTCTCCTGGCTTCTAGAAGATAAAGTGGTCATGGGTCAAAACACAATGTCATAGGATCAGGTGGCTGGCACATGGGGGTGCAGATCTAGCAAGGATGGGGGATGGGGTCACCCATGCTCTTCTAGGTCTCTGGAAGGGGAGAAAGCTAGAGAGTATGAGATTCCCAGAGGCTCAGAGCTGGCAGAACAGCAGGGAAAGCTTTGGTGTGGGTCAGGGCTGCATCTCTCAGGGAATGGCCATGTCGTGCCTGGAGCTCTGGCAGCTGGACTGAGTCTATGAGGACACCATCCTCGCCATGCTGCCACCAGCAGCATCTACAGACCCCAGCACCATATCTACCTCTCTGTTCTCCTCACCTGGCCCCTCTTCCACCGGTGCCCAGGGCTGAGCAAACACAGACAGCTGTCTCAGCCTCTTTTCCCCATACCATGTTTTGTAATGCAACCAAAGGTTATGCTGGTGTGGGTGACCCTAACAGTGGGGGCACAGTGGAGGGAGCACCAGATGGGGGCTGAGGGCCTTGCTTTCCCATCCCCCTGCCCTATCTGTCCTCCAGGCTGGGTCTCCCCTACTGTGGAAGAGGTGTTTGGATTACAGGCTCCTGCGGCCCTGCTGCAAATGGAATCATTTCTCAGCAAGGAGTCTCCCTACTCCTCCTTCCCTGAGTGGAGCGTATTTCCTGCCCCACTGACTTGGGGCTCAGCTTGCTCTGGAGAAGGAGACTAAGCAGATGGGACACCATTGCTGTGATTTTCCATGAGAACAACCTCCCCTAAGGGTGGCTGTTCGTCAGCCTAGACCCCATGTGGGCGCACACAGTGGGGCTTAGCTGGACCCGGGACCAACCCCACCTGGTCCCCAGCCCATCAGCTACCTGGGGAACCATAAAGGCAAATATGCGGTTCATCAGAACCTGAGGCCTGGGGCTGTTTGCTACACAGCATCCTTGGGGCAGTAGACGACAAATATGGTCCCTTTAACGTCATTTCTGGCACTGTGGACATAGGCTGGACTGGTGGCCCTGGGGATGTTACCTGTGAGCCTGAATCTCCTCTACTCCTAAGGGAGGAAGAGCTTCCTCTGTGGGCACTGTTTTGCCATCCTCCTGTCCTGCACTTTAATGACCTGCTATGTGTTGCCCCATGTGAGGACACACTAGACCCAAGGTCTAGAGATGGGGTAACATGCTCCAGCTGTCCCTGCTGCCCTGTCTGGGAGCTGAATGCAAACCACCTCTAGAAACAAAGGCTCTCAAAGCCTGACGTGTGGACAATCGTGGAGGCCACCACACAGGTGAAAGATGAATGTGTCTCATCACAAACCCCCATTCTCCCACAGTGGCCTCTCAAGTGACTTGAGGAAGTCCCTATATGCCATAGGGACAGATGGAGGGACAGAGAGGCAGAGGAACCTGAAGTCCCTTGCTGCCTGTCAGAGCCCAGCAGGTCCCAAGCCCACATAGCCTGTGGCTGGGTTACCCCACTCTCTGCCACCTCTCCCCCCAGCTGGCTTATGTAACAAGCACTTTGAAGTCAGCAGGAAGCTGAGCCTGTGGGAGGAGGCTGTATGTCCCCTGCTCTGCTCGGGAAGGCCTGCACGCAGAGCAGTGTAGATGCAGAACATTCATGGCCTTGTGATGCTGCCATGTCACTTAGGGGGTCTGCTGTCTCCTGCTGATGAGAAGACAGGGAGGGAGAATCCCTGCCCGCAGGGAGCTGCAGAGGCTGGTATTTATCATGAACATGGCCAGGAGGAAACAACTGCCCCAGACATGGGGTCTCACGACAAGCCTCCTTGGCCAACATCTGGGAAGGACATGGCTATCCCTGGCAGGATGGAAGAGAACCCTGCAGAAGGGCGGGGGAAGGGCATGAGGCAGAAGGACAAGACTTGGTGCTAGAGGAGGGGTGGCAGGGGCTGAGCCACTTACCAGCTTTATGGCCCTGGTGTGGCGCTCCCCTCTCCAGGATGCCAGTGACCCGGGCGAGGGGCTGAGGCTGGTCCCCCCCACCCCTCCCGGGCCTATGCACCTGGCATCTGCAGCTGATGCTGGCCCTTGTTTTCCCAGCTCAAGTCCCACCTCTGATTCCAGGAAGGGAGAAGCCAGCCAGCACGCCTGTGTCCTCCTGGGCCTGCAGGGTGCTCAGTGCTTGGGACGCAGCAGTGCAGTAGAACGGGCAGGAGGTGGCTGGCCAGGGCACTCACCTGTAGCAGTTGTTGTTGTAGTTGTTGTAGCTGCCCAGGGCAGTCAGGCAGCCCAGGCAGATGGCGTAAGAGAAGAAAATCTGCGTTCCAGCATCCACCCACACCTAGAGGGCACAGGTCCGTGGGCAGAAGAGAGGCAGTGAGTGTGTGGGGGGAGGGTTTATTCTCCCAGGTCCCCCAGACTCCAAAACAGCAGCACAAACTGATCACCAAACTTCCTACCTTCTCAGGATTCCCATACTTTGTTTTTGTTGTTGCTTGAGACATGTTTTTTTTTTTTTTTTTAATGTAGTTCAGACTAGCCTTGAACTTATCATGTAGGCCAGGCTGGCCTTGCACTCTCAGCAATCCTCCTGCTTCAGCCTCCTGAGGGCTGAGATTAGAGGGATGCATCACCACACCTAGCAACAGAACTATTTTTAAAGATCCACTATTCTTGGGGAATGCTTCATTCACTAAAAAGTCCTCAATGAATTCCAGGGTTTCTTGGAGGCTCTAAATAATAAACAGCTCACTAGACAACCTGAATCTGGATATTCAGGTCCCCAGCTGAGCTGTGTGACTTGGGTAAAGTCACTTAACCTCTCTGAAGTTCAGGGTCATCATCTGTACAGCAGGAAAGGAACTTCTGCTGGGATTGCTGGGAAGACTCACATGCTGGGTAAAGGGAGGAGAGTCACTCCGGGGAGGCTCAGCCCAAGCTGGGGCTCCTTCCCTGGGATGAAGACCACAGCTGTGCCAAGCACCCAGGAGAGGCCACAGGGCCCAGCGAATCCTGATCAGCTTCCGTTACAGATCCCTCTGCTTCCCATGCACATGGTAGCTATTTTCGGAGTCACCAAGTCCCCAAGACCAAATGCTGCTGTGGCAGCAGGACAGGCCCTGCAGGTCACAGCAGCTTTCCTGTTACCTCTCAGGGTGCTCTCTGAACTCCCTCCTGAAGTCACCAAGGAAAGTTTACAGCAAAAACCCCTTGAGGACAGCCTTGAAGATTCAGGACAAAAACAGATGTAGTTTTAATTCCTCTGGCCCTGCCTTAGTCTCCCCATTTCCTATCAGAGAAAATTCCACTTTCTACTCACTAAGGACACAGGAGCACAAGGAGAAGCAAACTCCAGAGTGGCCCATAGGAAAAGGACTCTAAGCAGCCTTGCAGGGACTAAAGAGGGTGCTGGGCCTTGGGTTGGCCACCCTGTTGTTAATGCCTCTGCAATGGAGCATCTTCTCCGCTATCCCCGGGAGTGGGTGGGCCAGGGTGACAGAAGCATCAGGAAGAGAAGGCCAGCTCCTGGGCAGGACTGGACCCCATCATACAGTGGACAGTGGCTGACTTTCTCTACACGGCACTCATCCATTTCTGTTGGCTCACCATTCCTTGATGTCCCCACACAGAGGTGCTTGGAGTGGGGCCAATCAAAGCTTTCCCCAGCTACAGTGACTGCCCAGAGGTGTGCAGAGGAGGGGAGCTGGCGAGGGTGACCCAGCCCTGTGATATTGGCTGGAGCAATGGCAATAGGACACCTTCTCTTTTTTCCTTTTCATTCGTTCTTTTTTGTTGTTGTTGTTTTCTCTCTTGAAAGTTCCTTGCTATGTAGTTCAGGTTGGACTTGAACTTACTGTAGAGCCCAGGCTGGCCTAAAACCTGTGGTGATCCTCCTGCTTCAGCTTCCTAAGCACTAGGATGACAGGCATGTGCCACTACACCCAGCAGAACACCTTCTTTTCCGATGGAGATGTTCAGGTTGTAAATTCTGCAGAACATCCGTACCCACAAGGGAAGAGTCTGCCTGGGAATGAAGCTACTCATAGGCAAGCAGAACCTGGGCAAAGCAAGTCAGATCCTGGTGACATCCAGGATACGGGCCCAGCCATGTCTGAAACCAGTTCTCCAAGAACTTTCCTTCCAAGAGACACTGTCATGTCAAACTGAAAATTATGGATGAACAGCAACGTTCAGCTCTGAGAAAACCCATAGGAAGTAAACCCTAACCCTTTCCACCAGTGCTAAGTGGAGCAGCACCTACCGAGCTTGTGTGCAGAAGCCTAGGCCAGGCCCTGAAGGAGGCACCATACAAGTAGACAAAGTGCTGCACCTCTGTTCTCAGGTGACATAAATAAAACATGCGCACAAGGTGCCCTGGCTTGAGAGAGGTGGAGTGCCTTCTGGCAATGCAAGAAGGCTGCCTGGAGAATGGGGAGAGTCCTCTGCCCTAGCCCTTCTTGCTCCCTGACCTCTCTGGGAAAAAGCCTGTCTTTTCAGTCATGACAGTTACCATTAAATCAGAATCTTTATACAACACGCTTAGTCAACCCACCCCCAACCTTCTGTGGTAATGGGGGTTAAACCCAGGACCTTTGCACTCAGCTACCTTCCCACCCCCTTTTGATTTACTGTGAAACAAGGCCTCACTATATTGCCCAGATTTGCTTTAAACCTGTGATCCTCCTGCGTCAGCCTCCCTGAGTATAGGGATTATAGGTGTGGGCCACCATGCCTGGTTATCTAAGCCCTCTTTAAACGCTGCCTATGGTGAGCAACACTGGAGCTAGCTAGCAGCTTCCGTTTCCCATTCTTCCCTTACCCTAACCATCTACTTTGAATAATTTCCTTTTTGCCTCCAGTTCAAACTTCTAAGTCTGTGGACTGACTCTGTGCTGATCTCCATATGCGCCCTCCATCTGCTCAGTTTTTAATATACTGGTCATTTGTGTTACCTCACAGACAAGCACTGTGTGCTGTATGATCTCCCTCACAGCCTCGTGCACTGTGGATTTTACAGGTGGCTAGAAATACAGTGTTCCTGGGCAGCCCTCACATCAGCACCTTCCCAGCCTATCTGGGAAGGTTATGGGACATGAGGACCCCTGGGCTTTTGCATGGGAACAATAGTTGACCTGGGGCGTCTATGCTTGAGGGTCCATGAGGCTGGCTATGGAGTCCTAGGCCTCCTTTCCTTTCCTGAGTGCCTGTTACACCGTTTCGCCGTCTTCTGTGACAAAGTGCTGCTGTAGCGCACTCGGTGCCAGTGAAATACATTCTCACTTAAAATGTACTTCTTCTCTTTGTTCTGGAGGCCTAGCAAGGTTCTCCTTTTCTCCTGGCAGTTTTATTAGACCGTGCATCTGTCCAGAGGCTGCCTCAGAGACCCCTGCACACCTGCGCTCGGCGCAGCATGGCTCCCCAGGGAACAGTGCCAATCTCAGTGCCTACTGACTGATAAAGAAAATGTGGCTCGTAAACACCCCACAGTGCTATTCTGCTTGAAAAGGAAAAAGGTCTGTCATCCGCACCAATACAAGCAGGCGTGTGACCGTTATGTGATGTGAAACGTGCCAGCTGCTGAAGGACCTGGGAGCTCACTCATGTGGACACTGAGGGAAGAACGGTGACAAGAGGCCAGGCATGTGAGGGGAGGGAGGGAGGAAGGGGAGGGTACTGAGTGGCAACGGGCACTAAGCCATGGTTAGATGGCAGCGAGGAGCTCTGGTGAGCACTGGAGGGGGAGAGGTAATAATAAAGGCACTATGCATTTCAAATAGCTAAGAGAATGCTTTCACTATAGAGCATGGATGTTTGAGGAGATAGAAATGTTTAAGCAGATCTGAACATTACACAAGTTGGAGCTAACCTCTCATAGCTTCTGCTCACAAGGTGCCCATGCTCGGGCAGGACCTGTCCCATCTGTCCTGGGAGCTGGAGGGAGGTGCTAGAGGGGGCCTGGTTTTCTAGAGTGTGGCACAGGCTGTTGGAAGGAGGGCCCCCAACGTGTCCTTCAGAGCCAGGGTGAGGGTGAGGCTGTGCTGGACACATAACTCTGTCCTTCTGCAGAAGCAAGAGCAAGAGGAGTTGGGCTGGTGGTGACACTGATCCTCTCAATGATACCAGCTAAGCCCTGTGGTCATGTAGGGGCCCTGTGAAGAGCTTTGCAAGTATTAAATTTGATACATCCTTGCTGTCCTGCTTTATTGTCTCCTATGCAAGAGAGCCAGCAGCCAGAGAGGAGGGAACAAGTTCCAGTTAGCTTCAAGACAAGCACATAGGGGTCGGGGAGATAGCTCAGTGGCATAAGCGCCTGGCAAGCGCAAGGTCCTGAGTTCGATCTTCAGTACCCCCCCCCCCAAAAAAAAAGGCACATAGATGCAGGTGTGGTAACACATATTTATAATCCCAGCACTACAGAGGCTGAAGCAGCCTGGGCTACATAGTGAAACTCCATCTCAGAAAAAATAAATAAATAATGAGGGAGAGACACGCATCACACATTGGCCATGCACAGCCACTTTGGACTCAGGAAGAAAGGAATCTGCAAACCCTCCCTGGAACCTGGCTGCCCTGGGGAGGAGACTCAGTGTAGAAGGGAACTAAATTCAATGGAACTGTTTTTGTCAGGCACCTCAGGCTGAGCCCCCCAGGGCTCAGGGGTGAACCTTATTCTACTTCCTTACTTGCTGTGCAACCCTGGACAAATTTCTTTGCTTCTCTGAGCCTCAACTTCCTTGCCATGAAGAAAGGATGCAGAGACTGTAAATGCAAATGCGGGTAGCTGATGCTGCTGCCCAGTCCGGTGTACTTGGGTGGCTGATGCTTCGCACTGGTACAGGCTCCCATTCACCAGGCTCCCTCCCCACCAGGCAGCCAATGCAGGTTCTGAGGCCATCAAATGCGCAGTGCCCAACACTGCAGCAGGTACACCGCCCTCTGGGAAAGCTACCACCGTCATAGCTCTGCCGCTGCTGGCATCCCAAGGCCTGGATACGAAGAGGCACAAGGGCCACCGACCCAGCAGCACGTGAGGCTTTGGGATCCAGAAACCCTCTGGGGCTCACAACCCACAGCCTTTTCTGTCATTTTTTTTTATACACACACACACACACGCCCCACACCACAGCACAACTTTCATAAGTAGAGCCTTCCATTGAAGCAAAAACATAACTTATATGGCCTGGCAGAAAATGGCTGAATTAAGTTCTTTCTTCTCGCCTTTTATATGGGGAAAGATTCTCAAAAGATTAAAAGTAGGTTAGGAGAATAATAAACCAGCTGTGTTTCCAGTGTGTACCTGACAACGGCTTTTGTGGGAGTGAATAATTACATGAAAATCAC